TACAACGAGCCCGCCACAGGCGCCGAATTTTCGTTAAAGCAATGTACGTTGGTCGCGGGTGGGTCGCGGGTGGGTCGCGGGCCGGGTCGCGGGCCGGGTCGCGGGGGACGACACCAAGCAACAACAACAACAGCAACAACAACAACAAAAATACCAACAGCAACAACAAACCGGCGACGCTCCCTGGCGCCAGCATGCACGGAGCAATAAAGTTTTATTATTTCGTGTGTGCGGAATAATAGGGGTTTATTATTCCGTGTATCGGATACACGGAGTAATAGCCGCGTTTTTCCCTACCTAGGCTCTGCCTAGAAGGGTTCTGACTCTCTTGGCTTAAAGGGCCGAGCAGTGGGAACCGGCCCGGGCGGTTCCCCCAGTATCCGCCCCGCGGTTCCCCCAGTTACGTCCCCTTAGCTTAGCGTTGCTTATCTCATCTTAACTTAGCCTATTTCATCTTAGCTTAGCTTAGCTTCATCTTAGCTCAGGTTTATCTTAGCTTAGCTTACCTTCATCTTAGCTTCGCTGAACTTTAGCATAGCAGAGCACAGCATGGTATAGCATCGCGTAGCATAGAATAACGCAGCATAGCATATCATAGCATAGCCCAGCATAGCATAGAATAGCGCAGCATAGCATAGCATAGCATAGCGCAGCACAGCACAGCACAGCATAGCACCACGGACTAGCATGGGTGTAATTAGCAGAGGGCTAGCTTAGCTTAGCTTAGCATATCGCAGCGCTGCATTAGCATAGCATAGCACAGCATAACATAGCCAGGCACATCATATCATAACATATCATAGCGCAGCATAGCATAGCATATCACATCATATCATAGCATAGCTTAGCATAGCGCGGCTTAGCATACCATAGCATAGCATAGCATAGCAGCATAGCTTAGCATAGCACAGCGCAGCATGACATATCATAACTTCGCATCGCATAGCATAGCATAGCATATCATTTCATAACATAGCGCAGCATTTCATATCATATCATAGCATAGCGCTGCATAGCATGGCATAGCATAGCATAGCATAGCAACTAATGCTGCTTTCCTAGGGGTTCCAACTTCTAGGTAGGGTCGCACTGGGGTAATTATTGTAAACATAGTTGTGGGGGTGGCATTTTACTCCGTGTATCGGATACACGGAGCAATCGTGGCTTATTATTCCGTATAGGGCTCATTTCCCGTATATAAGATACTTGGAGTAATAGGGGCTGATTATTCTGTGTATCGCATACACGGAGTAATATGGGCCTATGTTCCGTATATCGGGCACACGGGATCAAAAGGCTTTCAATTTCGCGTAGACGGAGTAATAGGAGCCGATTATCCCGTGTAGCGGGTACACCGAGCAGGTGCGGCCTATAATTCCATCTGCACGCAGTAATAGGGGCCAATTATCCGTGAGTCGGATACGCGGAGCAATAGCGGCCTCCGGTGTTCCCACGGAAGGTTTTTTGTTGGCATATCGTCCTGCAGAGTGCGTTGGCCAAGAGTGTTTTTTACCAGTCGCCCAGCGCCCACCCTGGCACGTATCGCGGTGGCGTGCCGCTGGTTCTGGGCCCGCAATCTCTGGGCGCCACCAAGCGAGCGCTTGATTTGCGAGCCAGCGCGCCCCGCGAAGGAGGCCACGCAACCCCCTGAGCTCGCCGACCTCGCATTCGTGGAGAGCTCCTGGTCGCTCGTCGCATTCGCTTCCGCGAGGCTCGAGGCCATTGTGGCCAGTGGCGTGGCAACCAACGGCGAGGCAGCGCATCTCCCTGGGGTCTTCTCGCCCGATGGCCACGAGATCATTCGTATCATCATCAAGGCCGGCATGCGCGGCCTATCAGCCAGGCCGAACGCTTGGGAGACCGCGATGGGCGAGTGGCACGTCGTTGCGCTTCCGAGCTGAGAGCTCACGCCCAAGCAGCGCCAGGCGTCGGAGCCGCCAGTGGACATGAGGGCCGTGCACCCCAGATGCCCGTCGCCACCGCGGAGAAGGTCGCGACCATGATCGCGGAGGCCCTGCAGGATTTAGGGGTCGTTCGCGCTCTCCAGCCGACCACCGTGAGGGCCGCCTGCTTAGCGCACTTGAGGGACCTGGCTACCGCTGCGGGGGGCGCTGCGGAAGCCGCCGCAGCTTCGGGTTCCGTCGCAGCCGCGATGGCTCTAGCGACGACAGCGGCGGCCGCGGAGGCAGCCGATGGCAACGCCGACGCAGGGGTCGCAGGGGCCGCCGTTGAGGCCGACGGCGCAGGGCTGGACAGAGCCAGCGAGGGGGGCGAGATGCAGGCCCAACGACTTCGACGAGGAAAATTCCGACAGCACCTGGAAGCCAGACGAGGGCGTCGACGAGCGCGCTGGCAAGGGCTACGAGGAAGTGGACGAGTCCGGAAGTGGAGAACCCGAAAGGGGTAGACGAGCCCGTGGACTTCGACGACGAGTCTGCGACAGACCTCGCAGCGCGTTCCGCGGCAGCAGCCGCGCGCGCAGAAGCCGCGGTGCCAGTTGCGCGCGCGGAGCCCGCGGCCGCCGCCGCTGCGTCTCCCGCGGCGCCATCGGCGCAGTCGGAGGCACCAGCCGCGCACGCGGAGGCCCCTGCCGGGCGCTTGCAGCGCCGGCCGCGGCGCCCGCCGCGCTGGCTGGAGCGGCCGACGACGAGCAGCTTGCCGACCCAACCTGCGCGACCCACAGTGCGCCGAGGTGAAGAATCCCTAAAGGCTTGTCGACTTTTCGCCAATCGACTTGTGAGAATCGAGCCAGATAAACCCAGGTAAATGTATATAAATCGAGGTAAATCCAGGTCAATCCAGGTAAATCTAGATAAATCTGGGTAAATCCAGGTAAATCCAGAGATCTCCAGGGAAAGTTCGAGCACTTCGCGGCCGCTCCAGCGCGAGTCGAAGGACGGCAGAAGTCGTTAAGCCTTTAACGAAGGAAGGGGGAGAATGGCGTCCTTTTGACGCAAGCAGCGGGCGGAATCTGGCGGAGCCAGCCGATGGAGGAGAAGGCGCAGCGCGTGGAGCTGTCCAGGGAGCGGAGCCACGAATTCGCGGCAGCGAAGGCCAAGCGCCTGCGCGGCAAGCCCTTGGTCTTTGGCGCAGGTCTGGACCCCTTTCCTCCTTCTCGCCCTTCTCCTCCTGAGTGTAATATTCCTCCTCGTCCTGCTTGTCCTCCTCCTCTCCTCGCCCTCGTCCTGCTGGCCCCCCATCCCCCTGCCCCCCGTCCTCTCGATTCTCCACCTGTTCTACTTTTGGCATGAGAGCGTCGTCGCCGTGGGTGCCTAGATGCCCGGGCGTGCTCGCTGGGGTAGTTTGGGTCTCCACTGGCACCGCGGTTGCGCGTCTATCGGCAGCGGTGCGCGATTGGATTCGTAGAGCATGGCTTCAAAATCTCGAGCGTAAAGTGCAACCTCGGCCAAAACGGATGCGCGCCATGAAGAGGCTGACCCCCGGGTGATTAAGCGGAGGATGTTTCCAGAAAGCGTGTGTGGGATCAACGCAATCACGTCCACGCTGCACTCTCGATGCGAATGTGATCAAGTGATCAACGCTCTGCGCGTGTTTCTGCGACCCTGCGTGTTCACGGTGAGGGGGTCTTCTTTGTAGCACAGCTTCGAGGTGCCAGCCCATCATCATGCACGTTACACTCAGCAAAGAAAGGCGCTATCCCCCGCTTGCCTCCCCCTATCCCCTCTTTCTCTCCTTCTCTCCGCCCCATCCTCCCTGTCTCCCGCTCTCTGTCCCTCCCTGCCTACGTGTGCATGTCCGTCCTCCGTTATTTGTTTTCGCATTTCCATTCGCCGCATTGTTGTCATCACTCTCGCTGTTAAGCTGAACGTCGTCAAGCTACGGGCACACAACATGCGCGCCGCCGCATCAGCTTGCTGGGACCCTCCGAATAGGCTTCAAGAGGGCCGCAGAAGGCCCCAAGGCGACCCCGGAGATGTGCAACGGCCGTTGCACATCTTCGGGGCGCAGTTGGGACCCTTTTGGGCCTTTTGGGGCGTCCTGTTGGGCCCCCCCGAGACGGCCTGGGAAGGCCCGAAAGGGTTCGAAAACAGCTCCAAGAGAGCTTTGGAACGTCCGCAAGAGGGCCCTACGAAGGCTCCGCGAGGTGCGCCACGGGGTTCCAAGAGGGCCTCAAAGGGGTGCCGAAGAGGGCTCCTACAATCTGCAAGGGCCTTTTGCGCATACTTGGGGTCGTGTTGGGACCCATTGGAGCCCCCTTTGGTGGTGTCCTTCCGCAGAGTCTGGATACACGGAGTAATAGGGCCCTACTACTCCGAATACGCGGAGTAGCAGGCCGCTGTTATTCCGTGTGTCCGTTGCACGGAGTAAAAAGGCCTTTATTATTTTGCAGCCGCTGACTAATTAGCTTTATTGCTCCGTGTATGCCGGCGCCAGCGAGCGTCGCTAATCACAACAATCATAACAACCATAGAAACAACAACATTCATCCGCACCATGGAATCCCACTTCAGCCACGCACCCAGGGACAATGAACGACCGTTCGGCCCCTTTCATTCTGATATGTGTATATACTGGTTTTTGTGTGATTATGTAAGTGTATGCGTACATAGTTTTGTACACGGGACATGACTGAACACATATATGTTCCCCCCCCCGCATTCCGATGTATGTATATGTATGTATAGGTATGGATTCACACACACACATAGATATGTGTGTACGCCTACATTGTTGCATGTCTGTCTGTATGTTTGTTTGTGTGTAAGTACGGATTGACCCGTAGATGTGTCAACGTTTCAGAAACATTTTCGGCTGCGTATGGTTCCAGCGCGATCGCGCTCGTGAGGGGGCGATGTATGTTTCCACCTCGCTTGTCGGAGCCTTGTCTTTCTCCTTCCCCTTCTTCTTCATGATCTTGGTCTCGCCGTGTGTCCTCCTGCCCCCATCGAGGGCGCTGGGCGCCCCAGGCAGACGACAAGGAGAGCCGCCCTGGAGATGGCAAGTTCTACCAGCTGGGCGGCGACGCCGCTAATCCCGAGGCCAGCTGAGGGGGGCCAGCTTCTCTCGGATCCAGAGATGCAGCGCGGCGAGGCACTCTCAGCGGCAGCGTCCAGCGAGGAACACAGGGTGGGCACGCGGGGCGCCGAAAGCGCCCGCACGGCCCTCGCGGTACATCGCCTCCTCCTCCTCCTCCGCCTCCCTTTCCTCCTCCGCCGCCTTCTCCTCCTCCTCCTCCTCCTCCTCCTCCTCCCTCCTCCTCCTCCTCCTCCTCCTTCTCCTCCTCGCTCCTCGCTCCTCGCTCCTCCTCCTCCTCCTCCTCCTCCTTCTCCTCCTCGCTCCTCGCTCCTCTCCCCTCCTCCTCCTCCCTCCTCCTCGTCCTCCTCCTCCTCCCCCTCCTCCCTCCTCCTCCTTCTCCTCCTCCTCCTCCTCCTCCGCCTCCTCCTTTTCCTCCTCCTCATGCTCTTCCTCCTCCTCCTGATCCTCCTCCTCTTCCTCCTCCTGCACCTCCTCTTCCTCCTCCTCCTCGTCCTTTTTTTTTTTCTCCTCCTCCTCCTCCAAGTAAGGTCTTTTAGTCAACGAATTCCTGGTTCCCGGTTCCCGGCTCCCAGTTCCCGGCTCCCGGTTCTCAGGCTCCTGCGGTTCCCAGTTCCCGGCTCCCGGTTCCCAATTCCCGGTTCTTGGTTCCCGGTTCCCGTCGTTTCCCGGTTCCCGTCGTCCCAGTTCCCGGCTCCCCGCTCCCGGTTCCCGGTTCCCGGTTCCCGGTTTCCGGTTCCCGGTTCCCGGTTCCCGGCTCCCGGTTCCCGGCTCCCGGTTCCCGGTTCCCGGTTCCTGGTTCCCATTACCCGGGGCCCGATTCCCGGTTCACGGTTCCCGGTTCCCGGTTCGGTTCCCGGTTCTCGCCAATGCCCGGTTCCCGCTTCTCGCTGTTTCTTGGCTCGTTCCTGGTCCCAGTTCCCAGCAATTCCCGGCTTTGGGTTCTCGTTTCCCGGTTCATAGTTTTTGTTTCCAAACTCCGGGCTCCCAATTCCCAGGTTTTTGGTTCTTTGTTCGGGGGTTCCTGCGGTTCCCGGCTCCCGGGTCCGAGTTCTCGGTTCCTGGTGTTTCTCTCTTCCTCTCTCTCTCTCTCTCTGTCTTTCTCTCTCTCTTTCGTCACTCTACTTCTCTCTTTCTCTCTCGACACAAATACAACTTTGTATACATAATTGCAAACCTTACACATATAGAGAGAAGTATGTGCGTATGTGTATCTAATTACATGCCTACCTACCTACCTACCTACCTACCTGCCGATCTACATACATACATACATGCATATATACATACATACATACATACATACATGCATGCATGCATGCATGCATGCATGCATACATACATACATACATACATACATACATACATACATATACAACTATATATATATATGATATCATTCTCTTTCGTTTTCCCTCCCCCGGCTCCCCACTTCCCGATTACATGTCCCCGGTCCTGCGTTCCCAATTCTCGGTTTACAACTCCAGGCTCCCAGCTCCCAGCTCCCGGCTCCCGATTCCCGGTTCCCGGCTCCCGGCTCCCTGCTCCTGGTTCCCGGCTCCCGGCTCCCAGCTCCCAGTTCCCGGTTCCTGGGCCCTGGCTCGTGATTCCGAATTCCAGGGTTCTCGGTTCGCGGTTCCCGGTTCCCGGTTCACGGTTCCTTGTTCGGGGGGTTCTTTTTTTCTCTTTCCTCTCTTTGATTATCTCCCTTCTCTCTCCCTCTATCGATATTTCTGTTTTGCTGGCGTTCCTTACTTGTTTCTCTGTCTCTTTCTCCATACATATATCAATACATACATACATGTGTATCCACTTACGCGTGGAAATACTCTACGTACATGATATGTCTGGTTATGTATTGACCGCACCCCCTCTCTTACCCTGACTCTCTCTCTCTCTATCTCTTTCTCTATTTCACTCCCTCCCCTCTCTCCCTCTATTTGCGCTCTATCCCTTCGGATATGTATACATTTGAATAGATTGCCTGTGTTCGTCGAGTTATCCTTATGTGTGTACCTTTATGTGAAAAGACGTGTATATACATTTCCGCATACCTTGTCTGTGTATATAGCTATACCTCTCTCTACATACACATGTACTCTTCATGTGCATGCGTAACCCTGTAAGAATATATACCTCTCAGTTTGTTTTTCCCCCCCTCTCTCTCTGCACATCCTTTCCTTTCTACATATATCCATGCATACAAACATACATATATATTAATACATACATGCATAAATACGTATGCTCAGTATGTACGTATTGATATATATGAGGACAGATTCAGATATCTCTCTCTCTTTATCTCTCTCTTCCCCCCCCTCTCTCTTTATGAACCTTTTATTTTGTTTATTGATGTTTCCCTCTCTGTCTGTACATCTGTAAGAATGTATGGATTGATGTCCTTCTGTCTCTCTCTGTTTCTATATATACATAATCACGCATATGTTATATAAACAAATGCTATTAGCCCAGTCAGTGCTTGCACTGAAGGGGTCCTAGCGGAGATTGAAAGACTTGGCGAAAGTGCTGGGCCGATTTCGGTGGGCGGCCGGGTTCCCGGGTTCAAGGTTCCGGGTTCCTGGGGTCCTGGTTCTAGGTTCTGGGCCGATTTCGGTGGGCGGCGGGGTTCCCGGCTTCCCAGGTACCTGGTTGATCTTCTTATCGATAGGTTTCACCATCGATCTCATTACCCACCTCTCGATCGATTTCCCGATCGATCGCACAATCGATCCCACTATCGATCTCATAATCGATCCCACTATAGATCGCGCGAGCGATCTCACGATCGATCTCAATATCGATCTCAATGAATCGACTTCACTATCGGTCTCACGATCGACCATACAATCGTCCTCACTATCGATTCCACGATCTATCTCACAATGGATTCCAATTGCCCAATCGCAATTTAAACTCATCTACTGGTTGGCGTTTTCTCTTGTTTTATTTATCAATATACATATGCGTACGCATCCACATAATTAATCATGTGTAATTTGCATATGTATGCATACCTGAAACTAGATGTTTTATATTTTACATTCACAGACACACACACACGCACACACATAAACATATATATATATATATACACATGCACTCCTATTCATGTACGTTTATAGGGCCGGGGACGCTGGAACAAAACAAAACACACACATAACGAATCTGGCCCTCCCCGGACTTCTGGGCAACCCTTCAGACGACGCGGGAGAACCCCACGGGAGCCCGAAGACGGCCCCAGACGGGTTCCAGGCGTTCTGGCGCGCTCTCGAAACGACCCCAGAGAGCCCCAGCAATTACGGTCCACGACAAACCCGAAGAAGTCGTCATACCCCCAAAGATCGCTCCACAACGTCCCAAGAGGCCTCACAGCCCAAGAAGGCTCGAAGAGGCAAACATCATTCCCCAATCAGTGCTTGCACTGAAGGGGTCCTAGCGGATATTGAAAGAGAAGGCGAATGTTTCACGCCGGTTTTGGTGGCAAGCCGGGTTCCTGGGTTCCGGGTTCCGGGTTCCCGGGATCCCGGTTCCCAGGCTGATTTCGGTGGTCGGCGAGGTTCCCAGGTTCCCGGGTTCCTGGTCGATCTTCTTTTCGATCGGTCTCAGCATCGATCTCATTTCCCACCTCTCTATCGATCTCACCATCGATCTCACAATCGATCTCACAATCGATCTCGCAAGCGGTCTCATTAGAGATCGCACAAGCGATCTCGAGATCGATCTCCCTATCGATCTCATTGAATCGATTTCACTCTCGGTCTCACGATCGACCATACAATCGTCAACTATCGATTCCACTATCGATCTCATTATCGATCTCACAATCGATCTCAAGATCCATATGACTAATTTCCAAATCATCCACTGATTGGGGTTTCCTCAGGTGTAATTGATGTTCTGTTGGTTTTTGGCGAATTGTGGGTTTCTCCTCTTTTCGGCTTCGCGAAGCTCCAAGATGGCGGTTTTCTGGGCGTCCGAAGCCGCCTGGGAGGCTCCGAAATCACCCCACAACCATCCGAAAGGGATTCCAGGCAGTCCAAGAGAGCCCCAAAACGGCACAACAGGGTCCAAGAAGGCCCTAAGAGAGCCCGATGGCGGTCCAAGAAAGATGGCCCCCAACCACCCTCCGAAGCATTCCAAATCGTGACGTCGTTTAGGGAGACCGCGATTGGCGCCAGGGTGGCCCGAGGAAGCCCCGAGAGGGCCCCAGAACACGTCCAGGAGGCTTCTAAGAACGCCTGAAAAACTTGTGTGAGGCTCTCCAAAGAGGAACCTGCGCAAGAAGAGCTGAAAAGGATGGGGAGAATGCGCAGTGTATAGCGGGAATGAAGGAAAAGAAACGTGGAGGAAGGATAACGAATAACATTATTATAACGGCGATGCTGGAAAAGGCAACAAGGAGTTATCGTAGAATTGTCGGCTTGACTTTCCTGCCATTCCGCATTCCTCCTGCATTCCCAACTTCAAGGGCCAAGGTGCATAGCCTTCTTTGTCCCTCTCTCCCGATTTCCCACTACCCGAACACATAGTTATTCCAAATCCTGCGTTCCTGGTTCCCGGTTCCCGATGAACTGGTTGTTCCGGGTTCCCAGCTCCCGGTTCTTGGTTCCCAGTTCCCGGTTCCCGGTTCCCGGTTCCCGGCTCCCGGCTCCCGGTTCCCGGCTCCCGGCTCCCGGTTCTTGGTTCCCGGTTCCCGGCTCCCGGTTCCCGGTTCCCGGTTCCCGGTTCCCGTTTCCCAGTTCCCGGTTCCCGGCTCCCGGTTTCCGATTCTCGGTTCCCAGCTACTTTCTCTATTGCTCCATATAGTGCCTCCTCCTCCTCCTCCTCCTACTCCTCCTCCTCTTTCCCTCCTCCGCCGCCTTCTTCTCCTTCTCCTCCTCCTCCTTTTCCTCCCTTTCCTCTTGCTCCTCCTCCTCCTTCTTCTCCTCCTCCTCCTCCTCCTCCTTCTCCTCCTCCTCCCTCCTCCTCCTCCTCCTCCTGCTCCTCCTCCTCCCTCCTCCAC